AACTGCCACAGCAAAACTGTCAGTTTCCGATGTTCCCAGTTGTCAGGGTTCCTGCTCCATGACCACACAAGACTGGACTATTCCATGAAACCTGTTACGAGCTGCTCATGTACATCCAGAGAGTCTGCCTTGAACTTGCAAAAAAAAGGATCAAATGAACTTGTTCGGTTGAAAATGAACATGCGCTTTCTAAGGGTCCGGATTCACAATGGTCGTGAGTTTTCTGGAAAAACAAGATGACCTCGGAGTTGTTGATGAATGGACAGCGGGACGGGTCTTCCTGCAGCGGGACACCCATGTCAGAGACGAAATGAAGACATGGATCAGCGCGGCTGCGACCCAAAGAATACAACTGACCCAGATCGATTAAAAGGTGGACCGACTGTTGATCAACTTGGAAGATCCCCTCGAAAATGGTTCCATCAGATCCACTTGGGAAATCTTGCAAACCTCTATATATAATATATAAAAGGACCGGATAACCCCACATGATAAGTTTTACAAATTTGAAATGTATATGAACATCACATGGGAGACGGAGTAGTGAGATGAAAAGTCAAGAACGAAGTGTGAGGAGAGAAGGTATATGAGGCGGTTGTGCTAAGACGTGTAGTATAAGTGATGATGTGATGGACGAGGATGAGAAGGAGGGGAGGAAGGAGGTGTGTGTGTGTGTGGTAAGATGGCGTGCGTGTCTGTGTGGGTGTGTGATAACGTGTCTGATGATGTGATGAACAAGGATGAGAGGGACGAGAGAGAGAGAGAGAAGGAGGCGGAGAGAGAAGTTTGGAGGCTCTGGATTTTAACAGGCTCAGGTACACAATGGCTGTGGAAATCACAATGGGAGTGGCGCACAGAGACGAGGCCGCAAGCATGAGAACGCAGTGACAACACTGGCCATGTAAATCACAATGGCAGTAGAGCAGAGACGGCCTTCACAAACGCCCTCGCCGCAGCACTTAGATTGCGCTTAGCATACAGCGAGAACCATTGCTTTGCAAAACACAATGGCAGGAGCGCAGAGACAGGCTTCACGAACGCCCTCGCCGCAGCATGTACAATGCGATTCGCAGACAGTGAGAACCATGGCTTTGCAAATCACTATGCCAGTCGCGCAAAGACAGGCTTCTCTAACATCCTCCCCGCAGCACTTACAATGCGATTCGCAGGGGCCCCCAGCGGCGACAACGCGCGCCGCAGCCCCTTCTGCAGTCTCTG